ATTTAAAAATTCTTAAATTATTAAATATATATATACATACATATATTTTATTTACCTTCTTTATTCGACCTTCTCTCTCTTTTTCCCTTTTTATCTTCATATACTCCAATTACTCCAATAAGTGTCAAATTTGACGTGACAAATGTTGTCAGGGAGCAGAATAAATAATGTCTGCAAAAACAATTTTGTTTATTATCGATTTTTTGTCATAGTAAAATGCAACATTGTTAATCAACATGGAAAGCGCACAAGCCATCAGCTCTAAGATTAATAAGGAAGGAATAAGAAAAAAGTAAGTAAAATTAATAATAATATTATTTTACAATATTATGTATTATGTATAATCCCAAGGAGAACAGAAAATCACAATACTATCAAAATGACATCATAATGACTATTAAAAGTCATATTTTGATCATGACAGAAAATTGATCAAATTATGATTTTGAAATTTAGCCTCGTATTTGGCTTCGTTCACGATAATTTGAACTTAGATTATTTCCGATATTCATAATTGTATGTTAGGACTTAAATATGATGGTATATGAATATAAAAATTCTTTTTAGCAAAAATGATATTATCATGATAAGAATATGACTTGCATGATGAATTGCGCATGCGCAATGTCTTTCGCGCAATTTATTGTTATTCGTGTCAAAATACGTCGTTTCAGTGTAAATATACGGCTCGAACAACGAAAGTAGCATCTCAAAGTGCCTTAAAAAAGTAAAAAAAAATCTTTATATATCTTGCATCACGATTGTGCGAGTGAATAAACAGTTATGAATAAACCAGTAAGTATAACATTTATGATATTTAACACTTATAAATGATTTATATTTTTAAGGTTAGAATATGTTTACGCTTATAAACCGGCAAAATAAATATATATATTAGCAAAGAAAAATATATATATTTTGCTAATTAATAAATAGATAATTAAAAAATCTATCCTGTAAATACAGAACACATTGTAACAACAAAATTGATTTATATGATTAGCTTAGATATATATTCTAAAGAGCTGAAACAATTAATTTTGTGTGTATTTTATATAGTTTTTTAAATGTTTTGTTCAATATTAATTATCCTCTTGCAGTCATCTTTTTTGAAAAAGAAAGTTTCTCGTAAGTATAAAATCAGGGCAAAAAATAGAATTTATGAAGCTTTTATCCGTTCAAAGGCAAAAAATATTGATGTACATCAAGAGCTTGAGTTTGATGCAAATCAAGGGCTTCAATGTAATGAAACTGGAACGAGCTTTTCAATATGTGATCCTTCCAATGATGGTGTTAATGTCATTCCCCAACAGTATTCTATGAATATCAATGATGAAATGTTTTGTAATGATAACATTGAATATGGTAGGAATGTTAACAATAATAATGCATGGATCAATTATGACAACCACGAAAACATTAATTGCAATGAATTTGAAAATGAGATTGTAACTCAAAATGTTTTTCAAAATGAAGAAGAGATAAAGACATATATTTTGACAGGACTCAAAAAATGGGGACTTTATAATGTGTCTAAGAGAAAAGTAGATGAAATTTTGAAATTATTTAAACCTATTTTACATTTTCTTCCCAAATCATATAAAACTCTTCTCAAAACTCCATGTAAAGTTTCTTTGCAAGTTATTGGGACAGGACAGATGTGGTACAAAGGTATCAGACATAACATTGAACAGAGAATAAATCATCAGTATTTAATTAATAATGGCCAGATTATTATGAATGTGAATATAGATGAAATACCCCTTCAAAAAGATTCCAGTAAGCAATTTTGGCCAATACTCGAAGATTTGCACATCAAAAATATCCATTTATTATCGGTGTCTTTTTTGGTACAGGAAAGCCAAATAATTTAGATCTTTATCTCCATAATTACATTGTTGAAGTAGCAGAACTTACAGAAAGTGGTTTTGAATGTAATGGAACAGTATTTCCATTTTGTATTAGAAATTATATTTTGGATGCACAAGCTCGTAGCTTTATAAAGCAATGCGTGCCACATAATTCTCCATTTGCATGTGAGAAATGTACAGTAGAAGGTGAATGGTTTCATAATAGGATTATATTTGAGAATGTGAACTGTGAGTTGCGAACAGATGACAGTTTTAGAAGAAGAGAAAATCCAGGTCATCATAATGGCAATTCTTCTCTGGAAAATATTAATACTGGAATGGTATCTCAGTTTCGATTAGATCCTATGCACCTTGTATATTTAGGAGTTTTTAAACGGTTTTTATCTTATCTAATTGAGAGACGAACCCACTGCAGACTTCCAAGAGATAATGTAATGAGGATTAATAATAATTTAAATGAAATTGCTCAGTATTTTCCTAAAGAATTCAATCGCAAACCTAGAAGTCTGGGGAATCGTGATAGTAGAACAAAGTGGAAAGGTACAGAATTTAGACGGTGTCTACTTTATGATGGTATTAAAGTATTTAAAGACCAGTTTCCTCAAAATATTTATCACATCTTTTTATTGCTTCATTCAGCTATATATATATTATCAAGTTCTATTTTTAATCATAATTTAAATCATGTTGCTGATTATCTATTAAAAGAATTTATCAGTCATGCTGCTCGTACCTTGGGTCGTGATTTTCTTGTTTACAATGTACATTCTATTGGTCATCTTGCTGAAGAATGTAAAAACTATGGTACTCTAGAATCGTTTAGTGCTTTCCCATATGAAAATTATTTGGGTGTCATTAAAGGAGTACTTCGATCAAATTATAAACCACTTCAGCAACTAGCCAATCGTGATTCCGAAACAGGAGGTGTATTAGTTGAAAATATTTTATCCAACTCATATAAACCTGTCTTAAAAGGCCGTTATGAAAAAAGATCAGAAATTTTTGAGGGTGAACAATTCACAGAACTAATATGGAAAGGAATGACCTTCAACAGTAATGAGCCAAATAATTGTTTTACTACTATTTTTGGAGAAGTTGTGTTCTTATCAAATATTATAAGTACCGTGCGAGGTGTAATCTT